ATTTTCTTCTTGACCTGAGAGCTCTGGAATTTGGCTATAATATTCCTTGGAGTTTTCATTTTGGGATCTCTTTCAGGAGATGCAAAATGGATTCTTTTAATTTCTATTTTACCCCCTCTGGTTTTAGAACATCAAGGCAGAGTTCTTTGATAATTTCTTGAAACATGGTGTCTAGATTTTTTTTGCTCGTGGTTTTCAGGTAGTACACTAATTCTTAGATTATGTCTTCTGGATCTATTTTCCATGTCAGTTGTTTTTCCAATAAACTATTTCACATTTTTTGTCTATTTTTTCATGCTTTTGATTTTGCTTTATTGTTTCTTGATGTCTCATAAAGTCATTAGCTTCCACTTGCACAATTCTAAGTTTTAGAATTGCTTTCTTCAGTGAGCTTTTGTATTTCCTTTTCCATTTTGCCAGTTCTGCTCTTTAAGGAGTTCTTCTCTTCAATGAATTTTTTGTATCTTTTTCCAGTTGGCCAATTCTGCTTTTCAAGGCATTCTTTTCTTTATTGGATTTTTGTGCCTCTTTTACCATTTGGCCTATTCTGTTTTTTAAGGTCTTGTTTTCTTTAGTATTTTTGTGTGCCACTTTTACCAAGCTATTGACTCTTTTTTCAGGATTTTCTTGCATCACTCTCATTTCTCTTCCCAATTTTTCTTCTACTTCTCTTACTTCATTTTTGAAATCCATTTTGAGCTCTTCTATGGCCTGGGGCCAATTCATATTTACTTTTGAAGCTTTGGATGTGGAGATTTTGACTTTGTTATCTTCTTCTGAGTTTGTGTTTTGATCTTCTCTGTCACCTTTTTATAGTCAGTATCTTTTTCTGCTGTTTGCTCATTTTCCAGCCTATTTCTTGACTTTTAACTCTATGCTAAAATGTAGCTCTGCTTCTGAAGTGGAGGGGCATCATTTCAAGCTTCAGGTATTTTGTGCAGTTGTTTTCAGAGGTAATTCAGGAGGCCTGTAAGTTTTTGGGTTTTCCAAGGGGGTAGGATCTAGAAAGAGGTGTGTTTACTACTCTCCTGTACCATGCATTAGTCTCTTTTCCACTGTAGAACTTTGACCAGAATCCCTGCTTCACTGTGTTCACAAGCTCTAGGGTGCTTGTGCTCCTCTTTGCCCGGGGATTTGGACCCAGGACCTCAACCCACATCCAAGTATAATCACTGTAAGAATCTTGCCCCTGGTGCCAGCAAAGGGACCCTTATAATCTCCTTCTGACCAACTAGCTGATCCCCTTACCATGTATGGGCTGAGAGTTCTGGAAACTGCCACTGCTACCACTGATGCTGTTGCCCCCAAAGCCTGCTACTGGTTTACTGGGGCCAGGTCTCCACTGTAGCCATTGTTGGACTGCACTCCACTCTTACCCTGGTGCAACTGACCTTTCTTGCTGAACTTCTAAGTTGTGTTGGGCTGGAAAATTGTTTCACTCTGTCCTTTTGTATGTTCTGCCCCTCTAGAATTTGTTTTGAGGCATTATTTAAAGGTATTTGGGGAGGTTTGAGGGAGAGCTTAGGCAAGTCCCTGCCTTTTCTCTGGATGTTGGCTTTACCTTCCTCAGGTGTGTTTTGGCCAGTGCAGTAGTATCACATGAAGAATCCTTACTAACATTATTATGAAAGAAGAAACCTTAGCAGCTGGTGATAGTGTCAGCAGATGGCAGTAAATCATCAGGAAGCAGCCAAACAGCAGAGAATAGCAACAGCTTTATAGAACAGCAACAATCAGCAGTTTCAGAGATAGAGAGAGACAACAGCTACAGGGTAAAGCCGGAGTGAGGCACAGTCAGCTGTTGGGGAATGGAGCCTTAAAGGTTTTTCCAACTAGAATGACCCCTGGATGTGAATTGTCTAGGGAATATTCCTTCTGTGTCAGGTGGCATGGAGAATAATACATTTTGGAGCTCAGAGGGAGGTATCCTTCCTGTTTATTTACTTTGCTATTCTATCCTAAATGAAAGGTTTTGCTTTTGATTTATTATTCTTAATTTTTGAATAGCTGTGTGACCCTAAGCAAGTCACTCAGTCCTGTTTCCTCATCTGTAAAATGACTGATTCTAGATCTAGCACTCTGTCCCTTGTGTACCTGGCTGACTCAAAGAAGTTAAATCTACAATTGGTACCCATCTGACTTGGGGGATTTATGAAGGCCACACATGTCACCATACCCTACCCTGATGAAAATGTTTTCATATGAAGAGGTCTTAAGGGAATGTGGACATGACAAAAAAATGTATACACCTTTTTCTGGTCATAGAATCACAAATTTAAGGCTACAAGGAACTCTTACACTTCACAGATTAGGAAACTGTTACCTAGACAGGTCGCTAATTATCCATGTGGTAGAGCTAAGATTTGAACCTTGGTCCTGAGAATCCAACCCAGCGTGGATCACTGCCTTGTTGTGGCAGAGGGGCTTGCATAGCTTAATGAAACTCTGAGCTATGCCATGCAGGGTTACACAAGATGACAAAAGGTCATAGTGGAGTTCTGACAAAAGTCACTGGAGTCACTGGAGAAGGAAATGTCAAACCATTCCAGTATCTTACCCAAGAAAACCCCATGGACAGCACCAGCATGCTATTGTCCATGGAATCACAAAAAGTCAGACACAACTGAACTACTTAACAACAACCTCAGAATCCAAATGTAGTGCCTTTTGAGTGACAGCATGCTGCTATGGCAGAGCAACTTGCTGTCCTGAATTCTCTTTGGCAAAAAGCTGTGAGAGAGGCACTAAGAAAGGAAGGAAATAAGTATTCATTAATGTCTCACTGCCAGGCACTGTGCTAAGTATTTTACGATTATGATCTCATTTTATCTTCAACAGAACCTGGATTTGAACTCAAGTCATCTTGACTGCAGGTCTAGCACTTTATGCAAGTACCACCTAGCAGTCCAAGGGATAATGGAAAGAACATTTAACTTAAGAGTTAAGAGAAAGCTAGGTTCAAACACCAGCACCACTACTTCTCCAGTCCTAACACTCCCCAAACTGTGTGAACAAGGACACATCACTTAACCTGTCTGTACCTCCAAGAGGTAATTTTGTTGTATATCTTGTTAACATGGGTTCTGTGATGATTATGTTATATGTTAGAACTTCCCTTCTTCACACGGGAGTAGGACAATGGAGTCTTGTTAATGTGGTCATTTGTTAACAATTTTCATAGGGTTAATGTGAGCAAAGCACTTTATAAACCTTAAGTTGTCTGAAAATGTGAGCTGCCATTATTGGGACAATAACACCACTCTAGCAACAACGAATTCTAACCACAGAGGAACCTATGTTCCATGCAAGCATCCTCATAGCAAGACTAATCAATACTTTGAATTGGCCTCCTGACTACTCCAGGAACAACCCTCCATCTCTTGGCTCTGGGTGTTTTCTCTGGCTATTCCTGAACCCTGGAATACTCTTCTTCCTTCTCTCCAACTAGTAACCTTTTTGCCTTCCTTCAAGTTCCAATTAAAATCTTAATTTCTACAGGAAGCCTTCCCTAACCCCTCTTAATTCCTGTGCTTTCCCTCTGTTAATTATTTCCTATTTATCCTATACTTAGCTTGCTTTGTATATATATGCAGGTTGTCTTTCCCATTATATTATAAGCTCCTTGAGGGCAGGGACTGTTTTTTGCCTCTTTTTGTATTCCCAGTGCTTAGCACAGAACCTGAAATGTGGTAGGCACTTAATAAATGTTTATTGAACGAATGAATGAATGGTCTTCCTGCTTCACCTGTCTCTCAACTCTAATCTATCCTCCACTCAGCTGCCAAAGTAATTTTCCTGAATCACAAGTCTGATCATGTCACTCTACTACTCAATAAATTTCAATGACTTCCTATTACTTCCAAGAAAAAATATTGCATGCTGTGTTTGACTTTAAAGCTTTTCACAATCTGAACCCTTTCTACCTTTGAGTCTTCTTACACTTCATTTGTAACCATGTATTTTACAATATAACAACAACGGCTGTCTTGTTGTTCCTCACACACATGGCGCTCCATCCTCTATCTCCATGCCTCTTCACTGGTGGTCTTCCATGCCTGGGCTGCTTTCCCTCCTCACTTCTTGGCTTCTTTTAAGCCCAGGCTAAAATCTCACCATCTCTTGGAGATTTTTCCTGTCCCACTACTCCAGCTATTAATCACTTTCTTTGACAATTACCTTCATTTTACACTGAAGATATCCAGTATATATGTAGTTATCTGCATGTTGACTCTGCCAAACGTTAGAGGTATCCACACACCAACAGTTTGTTAGTTCAGGTCCAATTTTAGGACAAAATGAGGCAATAGCACCTCATTGATCAATTAACAGAAGAAGGTTTACTTAACCCTAAGGCAGCAAGGATATGAAATAAGGATATAGCAGTGGCCCTTACCTTTTTTGGATACAAACCTCCCCATCTCCATATGAAAACATTTATATGAGGGTAGGGTATGGTGACATGGGTGGTCTTCAGAAATCCACCACGTCAGATGGGGACCAATTTCATGTGGATTTAATTTCTTTGAGGCAGCCAGGTACACAATGGATAGAATACTAGATCTAGAGTCAGAAAGACCTGAGTTCAAATCAAGCCTCCATCCTTTACTATCTATATGACCTTGAAAAAGTCCCTTAACCTCTGTCTGTCTCAGTTTCCTCAGCTGTAAAATGGGGATAACAAGAGCACCTATATCTCAGAGTTGGTTTGGGGACCAAATGAGGTAATATTTAAAAAGCACATTGCAAACCTTAAAGTGATATGTAAATCATCATCATCATCATCATCATCATCATCTTCTTCTTCTTCTTCTTCTTCTTCTTCTTCTTCTTCTTCTTCTGCTGCTGCTGCTGCTGCTGCTGCTGCTGCTACTGCTGCTTATGTTGTCTCTACCATTAGAATGTGAGCTGCTTGAGGGCCAGGACTCTTTTTTCCCCCTTTTCTTTATATCCCCAACATTTAGTACGTATCTTAGATATAGTTAGTACTTAATAAATCCTTGTTGACTGACAGAATGATTGAGGTAGAATGAGAATGATGAAGACTGAGAAAGACACATCAGATGTGGTCATTAAAAAGATTGTTGCTTACTCTGGAGTCAGAAGTGTCAGTTGAATGATGAAGTGGGAAGCTATATTGTAAAGGGTTGAATAGTGTGTAAAAGGAGAGAAAATGGAGGCACAGATCATAGACAATGTTTTCTAGGAATTTGGCTGAGAAAGGGAAGAGAGATGTAGGATAAGAGCTTGAGAGGATAATACAATCTAGTGAGGGTTTTTCAAGGATGAGGATGACTTGGGCATATTTGGAGGCAGCAGAGGAGGAACCAGTAGATAAGAAGAGGTTGAAGATTATAGAGAAGGGGGATTATTGAGGTTACAATCTGCAGGAAGAAATGTGAGTAAGTGGGGATGAGGGCATTTGTAGGGGGTTAGACCTTGGCAAACAGCACATTGTTAAGGACTGTGGAGAAGGAGAAGAAAGTAAGTAAAGATGTTAAGGAGAGAGAAGAGGGAGCTTCTGTTAAATGGTCTCAATTTTCTCAGTAAAATAAGATACAGGATCCTCAGCCGAGAGGGAGGAAATAAAGGGGGAGTATAGGAGACCTGAGGAGAGAAAAAAAAACGGCTGGAATAGTTTCTATGGAGAAAGAAGGTGTCAGTTAGAAAAGTATGAAAAACCTGCTTTTCTGAAGAGGGTTCAGGTCAAGTGAGATTAAATTAATTTGGAGTGTATGCAGTTAGCACAGTTACTTGACTTCTAGTTTCATTCAATGACAAATGAGTAGGAAAGCAAATGGTGGAAGTGATACTGGACTGAGGTTTGGCAAGGGATGTGCAGCAACAGGACAAGGACCTAAGGGAGTCAAGAGTACAAGATAGTATGGAGTTAATTGACTAAGCATAGGATCCATATTGGTAAGGGAAGAAAATTAAATCAGAGCAGGAATTATTAATGGCCTGAGAAAATCCTGAAGACTAGAAAGATCAGTGGACCCAAAAAGGATGAAGCATTGGTTTAGGAGTGATTAGGCAGGGAGAGTTGGAATAATAAGAAGCTATGGTCATATTAAGGAATGTAAGGGTTTTAATTAAGGAAATAGAAAATTGTGGATAATGGTGAGATCCACTGTTTGCCCATTTCTTTGTGTGAATAAAATGGGATGATGGAGTAGATTATAAGATTGTAGGAAGGCATAATTATAAGATTATAAGAGGCAGGAGAGTTTGAAGTATCATCATTATGGATGTTGAAGTCCCCTAGTGTAAAGTTAGGAATTGGGAAAGAGGGAAATACAGTGAGCCAGGTGCTGAACTCCTTGAGAAAGAAGGGATAATGACGTGGAGTCTCCTACACAACAGCCACCATGACTTAGATTAGGTGGAATTTTTTTTATTGAAATGAACTTCAAAGAAAGAGAGATGAAAGGGGAGCCTTGAAATGGTAATAGAAAGCAAGGCATATCCCTACTCCCTTCCAGGAACAGTGTGGTAGAGGGTAGGGGTGGGGAGGAGTAGGAATGAAGTCTTCTCTAGCCAGTAATAAAGAGGAAAACAAAAGATTCAGTGTCTTTGGGGGAAGCCAGTTATTGATACCTAATGAAGAATGAAAGAAAGAGGTCCATAATAAGGAGACCTTTGTTCACTATGGAGCAGCAATTCCAAAAAGTACACTGGAAGAGGAGGTGGGCAGGATCAGAGTGAAATGTGAGTGAGGAAAGGTGGAAGGATATGAGAATAGGGGAATGGGAGATGGGGATAGTTCATTCATATTTGGCCAGTATTTGAGTAATAAAGGGAGAGAAACACGTGGTAGGGGAGATTGTTAGACCTGGGGTAATAGTGGGTGGGAGATGAATAGTAATACTTGCAGTCTTGAGACTGTACAAGGGGTCATGTTGCTGGGCAATGCCCTTCCTATGTGGGACATCAGTCTTCATGCCTGATCTTCCTTCGGCTAGAGGATAGCCAGAGCTGTAAACCTACTTCAACTGGCTGAGAGTGCTGGGCATGATCCGAATCTGGGTCGCTCCCAGCCTGCTTTTCTGGTGTGGCTAGAGTTAGAGGAAACCTTTAAATAACTACAACTGATAGTTATGAAATGACAAATCAGTTCAATTAAACAGGAAAAAAGTCTGATACAATGGAAAAAGCACTGGACTGAGAATCTGGGGTCCTTAGTTTGAATAGCAGCCCTGCCACAGCTGTGACCCTTTGGGCACCTATAAAATATGCAGGAATTAGACCAGATGGCTTCTAAGACTCCTTCCAGCTCCAAATCTGTGATCCTACGAATTTTTAACTGTCTGCTATTTTCTAGGTACAATGCTGGAGATGCCAAACAGAGCAACAAAAACAATCCCTTCCCTCAAGGGGCTTATCTTTAGTAGAAAGCTAGAAGATAATCTTGCTGTTAGTAATCCTCCAGACTATTGTTGGGGCCACATTTTCTTGTGTTTTTTTAACTTTTGTCTTCAACAAATAAATATTAAATACCACATCAGGGTCTCCTGGATAAGTACTGGAAGCTAAAGAAATAATAAAATAAGTTAATATGAACAGAGAGAAAGGATAACAGCAGGTACTCAAAGAAGCAAGTTCAAATCAAGTCTGAATGAGGTCTTCAATAAATAGGGGTGGGCAACCTGCAGCCTGGAGGCCACATGTGGCCTCCTAGGTCCTCAAGTGGGGCCCTTTGACCGAATCCAAACTTCACAGAACAAAATGAAATTTGTTCCGTATCTGTGGTTTAAAACATGGGTTCCTTAACCTGTTTTTTTTAATGGACCCACTTCCATAGTGTGGTGATGCCTAAAGACCCTTTCTCTGAATAATGTTTTTAATGCATAAAATAAAATACCTAGAATTACAAAGAAAATTTTTATATCAAAACAAGGTAATAAAAATATTTTTATAAAGTTCACAGAGCCATGGTTAAGAACCAGGAGGTTTATGAAAAGTTTGACAAACCACTGATCTACTATCCCAAGTCTTACAGCAGCAGTGTCTCCATATAGAGGTATTTGTTCATTAGCCCATACTGAGGCCATCTACAAAGCAGAATGCAAAGTGTTTGATCCCTACTATTGAATCAAGCATATTTTCCGATTGACAGAGGGACAAGTCAATAGGAAGCCAGCTCTGCCACTGAAAAGAAAGAAAGTATTAGAAACTCTCCTATTTCTGGCCCTGGGTGAAATATGAGTGCATTAGGGAATGAGGAGTTCTCAGCGAGCCGGGGGATGCTGCACTCACCTTCTCTGGGCCTTTTCCAAGGTTTTGGCTATCAGTGGTGGCATCTCCATCTGCTAGAAAAACATACATATAAGCAGGCACCTGGCTTAGTATAGGAGAATATGGACAAATCACCACCAATTAAAAACTATAAGTCAAATAGTCCTTCTTTTTAATCAGAAAGCAACTATCTTGATTCATTGAACCTAAACAGATTCTAGTTGGAGCAGTATATAGAGCACCAGATCCAATAGTCTCATTCTTTTTGTCTATGAAATGAAGGGTTTGGACAGGATGTCATTTCAGGTCTTTCCAGATCTAACTATAAGATAGTAGAATATAAGGTCCTCGAGGGCAGAAACTGTATCATCTTTATATTTGTATCCTTAGCGCATAGCACAGTACCTGCCATATAGTTGGTGACTGATAGATGCTTATTGATTCATTCTTTGAGTAATAACATTTAAGAAGCATTGTGTGTGAAACACTCTGCTGGATGCTACAGCAGACACAAAGTTTATATGAAACAACTGACATCACAGAAGAAAAAAGAATCGTGTCCCAAGTCCATAGATTCATTACCTTCTGCTGACTGGGGAGGGCTTGTAGCTAGCATCTCACCACTTTAAGAGAATGATACCTATGCTTTACTTTTCTCTCTCTAGTGTTTTCCTGACTTTTTCCTTTATAAAATCTTTCTAGCTTTTGACCTAATGTTCCCAGATGCAGATTAGATAAGAACAGTATGAAAAAGGCCTACATCTTGAGTCCTAAGATCTCAGATCAAATCAAGACTCTACCACTTAGTACCTATGCGACATTCGTTAAATCATGTCACCTTACTGGGCCCCAGATTTCCAATCCATAAGATGAGGTGGGGGTGGGATGGGGATGTAGATCTCTGAGGTCTTTCCAAGCTCCAAATTCTATAATCCTGTATTCTTCCATGTTTCCTGAATCTATTACACTTGGGAACCTACAGCTTTTTACCTCAGCGATTATTGAATAGCACCCTAGATCGTTAGAATGAAGAATGGTACTCATGTCTTTTTCTCCAAGATAGATGATTCCCTTCCTACTTTCTCACCTTGTATGGGGTTGTTAAGGGAACAGGGGACACAGGAGATAGTTGATCCCCCAAAGGCATCTAGTCCACACTATCTTCTTTGCTATACACATTGGTTACATTTGCCATGGCTGATGAGATTTGCCATGCAAACCCAAACCTATTTTTACATTGCATAAATTGGCTTTTAGAAATGAACTTAGAATTTTACATTTGAAAATTACATTTGTACATTTAGATTTACATGGGGGAAATTATTGTCCTTGCTTTGGCTATGTAGCATAATCTTTTAAAAAATGTATTTATTTTATGCCCCCTGCCATGATATGTTAAACAATTTTTAACACTTGTTTTTTTTTAAGTTTTGAGTTCCAAATTCTATTCTTCCTTCTATTCTTCCTTTCCCCCTACTCCGAGATGACAAGCAATCAGATATAGATTATACATGTATAATCATGTAAAACATTTCCATATTAATCATTTGTGCTTCCTAATAAAGAAATCTTTGACCATCACTGCCTAACAATCATGTTGGTTCTTTTCAGGAGCAAAAATTGGTATTTATTCTTTGTTATTTGGAGTGAAATAGTTCTCATTTTTTGTGCCACCAAACCAATTTCTGCCCATTACAATGATGTCACTTCACCATATTAACAATATGAAAGTCATTATTTGATTGTGGGGCCTGGTTTATCTGGAAAGAAAGAAAAAAAAACACTATTTGTCAAAAGTCATGTCATCTTGGGAAAATTCCTATTAATGTTCTAGAGAAAGTGAATAATTAATAGTGCTTTATGGGAGTATTATGTGTTCATCATAAGAAAGTTTATTGACTAACTCTAATGGCTAACAGGAATTTCTTTCTCTTTTAGATGAAGAAGAAAGGCTGTCACTCCAAAGCCCAGACTCCTTTTTTCCACTGAAGCTCAGGAAGTACAGATTTATACCCTTAGCTGATGGTTAATGGTTTTTTGATAAACACAATGGATCGCAACTTAAAGAATGTTGTCACCATAGCTTTTGGATTTCTGTTTCTATTTACAGCTTATAAAGCTCTTCAGAATCTACAGGTAGGTGTGTGTATTTAACTTAGACACCTTGAGGTCTTCAGAGGGCATGTGTACCTATCCATTTCTTGGCCTCTGTAAGTACTACTTAAGGATCAAAGTGGCTTGCCCATGGCCACACAGATAGTATTGACGGGATTAAAACTCATTTCATCTCAATAGGAGAGCATTGTTCCGTGAATAGAGTGAAATGGGATAAATTTCAATCGAATTGGCATTCCTTTTTCTAAGACCGTCTAAGATGAAATGTTTTTATTTTATTTATAAGACTGTTTTTCCCTATTACATTCTCACTGGGTCTTGTCAACAAAATAAATCACTTTTTTAAATTAAATTTTTTAATTTTTATTTTCAGTTCCAAATTCTCTCACTCCCTAAATCCTCCCTCCATCTATTGAGAAGGCACAAAATATAATACTTATGGTATTTATGAAGTCATGGAAAACATTTTCACATTAGGCATATTATGAAAACAAAAAAAGAAAAATAAAGTGAAAAATATATGCTTCAGTCTGCACTTAGAGCTCATCACTTCTTCATTGGGAGGTGAATAACATTTTTCCTGAGTCCTTTGGAATTTCACAAACCATTGTATTGATCAGGAATAGGGAAGTGGAAGCTAAGAGGTGCACTGGGGCCTGGAGTGATGAAGACCTGAGTTCAAATCTGTCCTCAGACACTTCCTAGCTGTGTGACCCTGGGCAAGTCATTTAACTCTTTTTGCCTCAGTTTCCTCATCTGTAAAATGAGCTGGAGAAGGAAATGGCAAACCACTCTAGTATCTTTGCCAAGAAAACTCCTAATTGGCTCACAAAGAGTTGGACACAACTGAAATGACTGAACAACAACAAATTTTGTTGATCAGAGTAGCGAAGCATTTCACAGCTGATGATTATTACAATATTGCTGTTGCTGAGTACAAAATTCCCCTAGTTTTGTTCACTTCACTTTGCATCAAGTTTATATACGTCTTCCTAGGTTTTTCCAAACCCATCTCCACCATTTCTTATTGCACAATAATATTTCATAACCAATTATATATCAAAATTTGTTCATCCATTTCTCCAACTGATGAGCATCCTCTCCATTTCCAATTCTTTGTCACCACAAGTAGAACCACTATAAAATTTTTATAGATATGCATCCTTTTACTTTTTTCTTTGTTCCCTTTGTATAGAGCTAGCAGTAGTATTGCTGGATCAAAGGATATACAGTTTTTATAGCCCTTTGGGCTTAGTTCCAAATTGTTCTCCAGAACGGTTGGACCAGTTAATGACTCCACTAACAGTGCATTGGTGTATCTATGAAATAAATGATGTTGAACTCTTAGATAAGGATTGCAAAGACCTGAGATTAATGATTTGGAATGTGATTTTTTTTTGCCGTCTTTTACAGTAGTTAAGACAAGTAAAAGAAATCATTGTGAACCATCCTGTGTTTTGAACAATTTGATTTTGAGGTCAGATTCTATTACATGAATCCATTAAAATTCATAAAAATTAGATGGTGCTTTCAGGTTAGACCCTGGGCAAACTTGGGATGTAGATACAGTTCTGTCATGATGTCCCCCCCCTTTTTTTCTCTCTTGTGTGTCCTGCAACATTATTCTTTCTTTTTCTAGTTCTGGTGCCCTCACCTATCAAAAGCTACTAATTGGAAGAAAAAGATATATCAGTCATTTATACCTTAGTATGGAATGAAATGCCCTTTCAGGGGCATTTGCTTTTCTTGGAATTTTTTAAAGATTATTCAATGAAAGATTATTTGTTTGCTTGTTTAATGTTAAAGGTATTTCAGATACTTCTGCAGGAAAGAGATTTGAAAAGATGTCACTTTGAGCAGTGCCTCTTTATGGTATCTCTGAAATAAAAAAAAAAAACTTTTTTTAGCTACTATGTGGTCTAATTGCTATTTTAGATGACCCTGGGTGTAATCATTGACAATATAGTGCCAAGTGAGCTTTTTGAGGTCACAATTATTGTTCGTAAGGCATCTAGGTGGAACACTTCCTAGCTGTGTGACTTTGTGCAAGTCACTTAACTGTTTATCTCAGTTTCCCTATCTGTAAAATGAACTGGAGAAAGAAATGGCAAACCACCCCAGTATCTTTGCCAAGAAAATCTCAAATGGGGTCACAAAGTCAGACATGACTAAAAACAATTCAACAACTACATTACATTATTATAATTTGCAATATTTGTTGGCATTTCTGATGATGTTTTTGTGCTCACTAGCATCATGAGCTAGTGAGCAATGTGATACATAGTGCTTTAAAGTACTTAATATAAAATCGAATTTGAGCTTCACAAATTTTTGAAGTAGGAACTACAAGAATTATTGCCATTTTCTAGTTGAGAGGAACTGGGATTCAAACCTTGAAAAGCAATATAGTGTAGTGAATAGGAGTCTGGATTTGGAATCAGAAAGACCAGGGTTCAAACCTTGTCTTAGATAGTTACTAGTTATTTGAGGCTGGGCAATTCTCTTAACTTCTCTATGCCTCAGTTCCGTCATCTGTAAAAGGATAGGGTTGGACGTGATGGATTCTAAAATTCATAGCTCTAAAGCTATGATCATATTACTTGACTGCAGCCACCCAGTTTAGGGCTGGGGCCAGGTGTATCTACAGAGGAGCTAATATAGCTATTAGCCCATTGTAGCCCTCCCTGGAGCACATGTAGGGGAATGAGAATGGCAGAGGCAGGTGGAGAACAATTGTGCTGCTCTCCTCAGTTCAATATTCTCTTCACACACTCTGCTGGATCATCACCTGCAAGGCCACAAGGGATGTACATCCCCCTCCTTGGACATTACTGCTTTAGAGTACAACATGCAAGCCCTTTATTAGTCTCTGAAGGGAAATCCAAAGAACTATTTAGAAGACACTGAATCAAGGAGCTTGTTCAGAATCTGGAATTCAGTGACAGTGAACTGGAGAGGCAAAAAACTGTATTATGTAAACAAAAAAGAAAATAAACCTGGAAATCAATTTGTCAGAGAGCTGAAATCCAGTTTTGAGTTTGTCATAACACATTTTCTGTTTTGGTTCAGGGGCTGCTGCCTCACTTCAATTTAAATAATAAAACTACAAATAATGTTGAGTTATTAAAAATATCGTGCTCCAATTTCCTTGGAATACCCTTCTATTTCAGTTTTTGAATTTACTGTCCTATTTAAGACTTAACAACATAAAAGTAGGTATTGATATTTAATTAAGTTAAATATTTAATTAAAGTAATAATTTAATTGATAACCATGTTATAATTTTATGAATTATTATCTATGGTATCATCTTTTCTACTAGACTAGAAGATCGTTGAAACAAGTGGCTATATTTTTTTTTATCTTTGCAGCCCCAGGCCTAGAACAATCCCTTCCATATACTTTGATGCAGATTGTATCACCCATTACTTCCCATCATGTCTGTGGGGCTGTCGTCCAGATCTTCCTCTAAATCTTGCATGAGATGTCCACTTGATAGGACCTCCCTCTGGCTCTCTTGACATTGTATAGATATCAAAAGATTAATAATAATAGTAACAGCTAGCATTTACATAGCCCATACTATGTACCAGGCACTGTGCTATATACTTTACAAATGTCTCGTTTCATCCTCACAACATTGAGAGACAGGAGCTATTATTCTCCCCATTTTACAGTTGAGGAAACTGAGGCAAATGACAGTGAAGTGACTTGACCAAGACGACACAGCCAGTTCGTATCAGAGGCCGTATCTGAACACAGGTCTTCCTGACTAGAGGACCAGCAAGTCTATCAAACACGCCACCTTGCTGCATGCTGTCTGTTCTTCCATGTCTGTGCCTTGCTCTTGTCAGTCGGGTGGAACCAGCCTCTAACTTGTGGGTGGCTGGAGACCAACAGAGCAGGCCAGAGACAGGAGACTCAAACATAAGTTTAATTTCAAAGTGAGGTCAATGGCTTGTAAGCAAGGATACATGTGCCGGGACCCCGCCCCTAGTGGGGAGGACATCCGTTAGTGGGGGTCTCAAATCTCAATACTTAACACCAGTGGCTGCTCAGTGAGCTGTCCTCTTGACAATGAAGTGTAACAGCAACAGTGTGACAAGTTTGATTCACAGCAGGGCTTCATGACCAGAACATGGATACAGCAGATGCTTGTCTGAGCTCAGAGAACGCCAGGTACTGGTCAAAACAATACAATAATTACATGAAACAATTCTGGGATTTCTCCATGGCTGAGATCATCTAGAGGGTGAGTGTGAAGGATTGTTATTACGCCAAGTTCAGGACACAGCTTGCTTACTGAGCCTTAGCTCTGGAAAATAGGGTATCTCCTAATACTTTGACATTATGTAATGAGTCTAACTACTTCTTAGGCTTTACAGCTCTTGGATGACATGTTTTATGAAGATTTGGTAGTCTAGTCAGTCCTTCCTTGGGAATATACTGGAGTCTATAGGCAACTCTGTACTTCCTATTCATTAACCTCCAAGTAACTCATGACACTAATTACTTAGAAATCCTTGGTCATGTAGTCCAACCAAAGGAATCTTAAAGCTCTGAATGTATTAGGCAGCTGATAACTATTTGCTGAAACCACTAACACCTTCAGACCAATAAGGTCTAAGGAGCCAGGAGACTTGTCTTTGTATCCTTGCTATGCAAATGAATCCCTGCCTGACTCATTTATCTTGGCTTCACTTTCCATCTGTCAAATAAGAGAATAGAACTTTGCTAGGTGATCTATACGGACCTTTCTCTAAGACCTAATTTAGTATTGACAATCCTAAACTGGCTTCACTAATCAACACAGCCAGTTTTTTTTCCTTTTCTCTTCTGTCTTTCTTTCTATCTTTCTTTCTTTCTTTCTTTCTTTCTTTCTTTCTTTCTTTCTTTCTTTCTTTCTTTCTTTCTTTCTTTCTTTCTTTCTTTCTTTCTTTCTCTCTCTCTCTCTTTCTTTCTTTCTTTCTTTCTTCACATTGCAAGCAGTGAACAGGAAGCTTGGATGAGCCAGCATGAAA